AAGCATTCAAAATTCCGGTGCAGTTGAACTGTCAAAGTGTAACAGTCGTGTCACTGGATCTGTTTTTTGTGCCTCAGTTCTATTCTGTATTCTCGAGAAGAACCCAGGTCTGCAAGTGTGTTGAAGCAGCCAGCGTCCTCACCAGCGCTACACCCTTTCCGTTCAATTGGAGACAGAAAACTCCTATTCTGAAAATAAAAGTTCTTTTAACCATCGTGAACCAAGGGGATCTGTATTTCATTCATTATTCGATACAAAATGTGTAAAATAGGCAGCTACGCACAAATTGATTGTTATCTCCTATCTTCTCGATAGACCTGAATATCATCAACCTCTCGGGCTCTACTTTGGAGGAAAGGAAGAGTGAAGAGCATGAACACTTCAGATTATGGAATCCAGTAATTGGGGCAAGAGGAAAGAACGACAGCCCTGTGTCATAGCTACAGGCGTACCAACTGGCGGGGAGAGTAAGGAGGCTGAACACAGCTGTTTGGGCGCTCTTGAGCTTCTTAACGGGTGCTCGACTTGAAGTGGGTGCACTGCCTCCACTTTATTTCCGTCCTGTGCAACCACGCGCAGTCAATCAAATAAAATCACCTATGCATGTGATGCATGTCCTGAATGAACGTGTAATCCTTGCGTAATCCCTCTATTCTCCGACGATGTCATACTCGATGTCATCTCCCGGCATTAAAAATAGACACGACTGCAACACCCACAAAACAATACGCTCTGTAATGATTATTCTGGCCCCAGACGATGATCTAAACACGAGATATTTGTTAAATAGAGAAGATCGTACAGCTAGAGGGAACACAAAAAAGATGGCGTTAAGATACCAATCTGAGCGTCTACTAGTACGTACAGCCTTATTTACAGCAACCCGTGATGCAGCTCAGTTGCAAGATTCCGTCAACGTTTATAACACTAGCATTCAGATTGACACACTAACAGCACTGTATTCCGTCATTCTGTACACTGCGTAGCTTTTCATTGGCAAAGAAAACGTACTTTCTCTCCTCTAGGAAGAGCTTAAGGGGTCGGTCATGCCGCATACAGAGTGATGATTTAAGATCCTGTCGTTTAGGAAGATCACGATAATTTCAATCATCTGCAAAAGTTATTTAACACCAAGGGAAGGCTTTGATCGTCTAATCGAACCTTCAGAGGATCTTAGATAGCCATCGTCGTTACTACTCGTCCGGAAGTAGCAGTGAGTATATGTTAACGCACGAACAAGGTGGAAAGTGGCAAAAGAGATTACAGGCAGAGCTGAATGCGGATATGAATTGTTAAGGCCTCCTGCACATGTATATTGTTAAGAACCTCGTATCTGCAGACGAGACGCACGGCCCTCGTACAATTCGTTTGAGTATGTCTGTACTATCCTGACCGCAGGAAATATTGTCATGCTTGATCACTTGTCCTCGTATCTATGAAAGACGAACAGTCAATATCAGAATACAACCCCTCCCTCAGTCTGATGAAATGTCACCATGAGGACACACAACGATACTGGTCCACAGTCATGTTCCTGACGTGTGAAAGATACTTGTAAGCGACAGAGCGAACGAATGAATTGGTGTACTCACCTCGAGAGCCTCCAGGTTATAGCTCCATCAATGAATGGGTAAGAGTTTAGCTGGGATAGTGTACGAGGCATCATCCTCTGCAAAGCACGCACAGCGTCCTTGATATTGACCTTTACTGTATACCTTAGTAGCTGTTTAAGCTGCTGGTGGGTAGCACCACGCTCCTCCATTGGAGAGGCTTTAAAACGTCTATCTTGGAATGAAGACGTTCCACACGTCGAAGAGTACAGCTCGTACACGACTCGCTCATACAGAATTTGCTCCTAGGACCAGGCTTCACGCAGCATCATATAGGATCTTGAATAACCTCTGTGATGTTTGTCAGAGGCACTCAAAGTCGTCGTGTCGTTCAAATTTTAATACCATAGCTAATGTGGTAGTATTTCCCTCGAATTGTCATACCGAATATTGGTGGAACCACCTTAAATACCTGATCAACTACAGCTACACTTGGACAAACACCCCAACAATAATAGTGTAGTCCAATAACGGATAATCGAGGGATAATAATTCCACAAGTGTCGAAAATGAGATTTCGAGTCTGCAGTGCGGCACAGCCACATTGACGCCTAACACAGGTGTCGATCTAGCATGAGCAGTAGATGTCCAACGCAACTCTGGAGGGATTCAAGAACAAGGGGGAAGGGAAATAAGGTTGCCCTATAGGATGAGAAATGATTTCTGGTAAGGATGCGTTGCTTCATGCGGTGAAGCTCCCAACACCAACGATGCTGAACCGTTCCTATGTGCTGCTGCAAGACCAGCAAAGTCGTCTCACAGCTTCCTGCAGCCCACTCCCTAGGTATTATGGAAGCCCAAGCATGATAGTTATTCAGTCAAAGGGGCGAGACATTGCCAGATCGCTCGTCTGGCCCTTCAATAGGGATTGAAATTTATCTAGGATTTTGGCTTCGTGTCAACAATCGGGATGGAATAATGTTCAAAGTCTTTGCAGAGCCTTTGATTAATAAGAGTCTACGACGGAGAAATGTGTGAAGGCTTGTAAAAGATCCACGAGGGCCAGGCCACCGGTGGTGTACCATATCCATAACATCGCCGAAGTAACTATGCAAGGCGGGAGAGACTACGCAACCTTCGTTCCTGGTGAACTTTGTTCGAGGGTTGCGATTGCTGACGACCGCTCCTAGAAGCTCGAAGGTTGCTGGTATGATATCCACATGCGTTGGGTAGGTGAAGACACGAGACAAGATGATCTGACCCTACAGGTGAGATGTTGAACAAGGGAATCAAGTTGCTTTGCTAGGAAGGTCATATCTGCGGTCGGTGTCGGTATCGCCACCCACAATGATCCTGGTTTGTACCGCAAAATCGCGTATATCCAGCCCGAACGTGAGACATGGGACATGCTGGCGCAGGCTCTACTAGCTGCGAGCCTGTTGCCACCGATGCTCCGTATCAACAACTTCACTGAGGCAGCTGAGCGTGGCAGGTGCGACTACATCCACGAGGTATGCACCGACATCGTCGCTGCTTATGTAGTAGAATCAACTCATTCGTGCTGGATGTTCATCGAAGGTGGTTGGTGTCGACGACCTCCACACATATGAACTGGACGCTGCTCGTTGTCCATGAGTGTTGCGTCAGTCAGTGTAATGGCGCCGATGCAGAAGGAGACGATACGTCTATCATGATATCTCTCTCCGCTGATGGTACATCATAAAAGGCAGGGGTGCTGAAGCAGGGTGTAGCATTGACATGACGTCGGGCGTTGCGTACAGCCCGGGTCGCAGTGGCCAACAATAGCCTATCTCAACTGGACACTAATGTCCTCTCTGTCTGTGTACGAGCCTTCAGGTATGGAAAAAAGGATAGTGTAGGGCAGCGAGCGGCGTGCTGATGGACGACATCCAAATGCGACGAGATTGGTCACATGGTGAGAAATCGGACCCACCGATCGATGGTGAATCCAAGTTGAATCACGTCCACGACTCACTTGGCTGACCTAGATGACTCTTGGAGCCTCTCCCTGCGACGTGCGGGAAGTTGTACAACCACCAAGAGGCGGGACCAGTAGACTAGAGGCGCCTAAGCAGAGAGCGTGCTTTCGATGAGGCTAACCGAGTCAATGTGTGGTGTTCTCAAAACCGAGGAGACGTTGCTGGCGGTGGGTAGCTTTGAAGTTCTGCTGACGAATTCCATTTGTAGCATGTAGAGAGGATATACAAGAGCTTAGGATCCCCGAGCGTGAAAGACCTGGACGGGGACTGTTGTGCCAGAGAACGTAATCGAGGGGAAGCCGTGTCAAAGGACGGACTCACAGGTCAAAAGTCCAACCTCATACGGACGCCCGCATAGAGAATAGGACAGACGGGCTCAGAAAGAGCCGGAACCTGAAAGATGACCTCGTACAACCGACTTCGATAGTAACATCCACCCAATTCTCGACGCGTCCGACATGCGAAAGTGATTCCACTCAGGCCAGTGTGGTATGTCAACGTACTGCTCCTATGGGACTGCTATGACCAACGAGGATACTTAGAGAATTAGACACACGTACTGATTATCCATGCCCCCGCCCAATAGAACGTCCCAACACCACGAGCCAAAACGCGCAGGACCTAACACCCACCATATATGTATCGATCTCCAATAACGAGTGACTGCTCAAACATGGCATCTCCTTTCCTATTCCTCTTCCCTCCATGAGCCATATATTTCAGGGATATCAAGGTTCTAGTCGAGCTCATGTCGTACGGTATCCAGACTGACGAGAGGAGGGGTAAAAACGGAGCGAAAAGGTGCCGATTGGAGCTCGCGATGAGAGTGAATAAACAAGAGTAGGAGAGCCATGATCATTTCGGTAGATTCATCTGTGCATTCTTGACGCATGTCGCCAGTGGAATATGCAGATTAGTGCTGGCTGGTGCTCTGAAGTCGAAGGTTGTGAGAAGCCATATAGGCTATTTTGCGTTGCGTATACCCGTTGAGGTAGCGCCACCATAGCTTTCTGGTAGGGACACAAACACCATCATGCGGTCTCTGTGTTGTCTGTCGCTGGCGTCGCTTTCACCGGCTCACACGAGGAGACACAAAATAGTCAACTTCTCGTGGCTGTGCATAAGCGCTGGCAAGGAAATGTTTACTCATGTTTATGTCTCACATTTCTACTGAGGTTTTGAGAAATGTATTTGAGGTTTTTGCGTCACGTCTGAAGTTTAAGTTTAGCATGGATATTGCCATGGAAGTCCAAAGAATAATTTTTGGAACTGCTTTTAAGGGACATTAGTTACGTACATTAAGTATATGATAAAACAGATGCAGCTCCCGATTCCTCAAAATAAAATATAAATAAACGCTCATATTGCGCTGATATTAATACTATTATCCATGTCGGGAGAGTGTGCGATGGCGGGCAAGAATAACAGTTTTAGAAAAAGCTAGGAGATATGCATTAAGAGGGAATTGAACCCCCGGCGGGTCGAGCTTATACAAACAAGACAAGTTTCTAATGGCAACGACCCAGGTTACCACTACCCCATTAATGCGTATAAAACGAGTAGCAAGGTGAGGCACCCAAAATGGGTTTATTGTGCTGGTCGACGCCACATCCACAAAACTCCCGCATAGAGGCGCCTAGCTTTCTCCCAGCGTCTTTGTTCCCCCGGCAAAAACACTTGCGGCGTCTTCGACTAAAAGAATCTCCGTCGAGCACTCCAAACTAAGTTTATGTGATGTCGCACATTTCGGATTCCCGTCTGTCGGCTGCTTCGCGGTCCCGTGTACGTCCGAGATGTCGTCGGTTCTTTCTACCTCTATAGCAGGTAATATTTTTCAGTTAAATATTTCATACGCAGAAATTCTAGGTATAAATCTTCTTTGTGCGCTCCTCACTCGTATGTGTGATCACTTGGATATTTTTTCATTCCAGGTTGTAGGGTATTCAGTCTTGTTAGCTACACCTGTAACCTAGAACATCTTCATGATTTGGTAACCTCACCGGAGACAGGCTACTCAAACATGCTCATAGATATCTATTTAACCTATTCAAGCACCCCAGCCGTGTATTTACTTCACCATGTTGACAACGTGCTCATCTTGCTGGCTTCTATTGTGCTATCTTTCTTTACAGTGGTATCTAAATTCTTCAGAGTCCTGCCCCTTGTTTTTAGAATTCTAAAAATTTTAATACTATCATTACCGACATCAGCACATATATCGATTTCTTACTTTTATTATTCTTACTTCTGTAATAGAAGATATTCTTTCGACCTCTGTACCTGTTTATGGAAACATTCATACCTCTTGTCACTAAGGCAGTTTTGGCTCTTAAATTAGTGAACTTCATTTAGGACGCGTCGAGTTCAGTGTAATAATTGCGCATGCGTCGATTTTGAATATCTTCTAACTCATCTTCTCAGTAATAGCTAGGCATCTAAGATGAACTTCGAAGACCGAGCGACTTCAGTTTCTGTTTCCTTATATTGTTCTTTTTCAGCTCAGTTAATTAAGTTTTAAATGGGCGAAAATTAAATTAAAATTTCCGATCTACAGAAATAGTCTCCATCACATAACCCCCTTGTAAAGGGTTTTGGCGCATGGATTGTGCTGTTTGAATGTAGTCTACACGTCACTACAATTCAAAAAGGTACAGCTTACAACTATTATCCATTAATTTTACATATAGAAATTTTGCACCATAGCTGGAGTGCGTGAATACAATCCTCTTTTGGAACTGGAGGAGAGCAACGAGAGTGCGAATACCGGTCCGTTAATTAATTTAGGTAATGTTCTATTATTAGAACAGTAGCATTGCCTCTCCCATAAGACATAAACCGTTGAAATTGAAGTAGTCATACCAACTCTGTAAGGGACAACATACCAAGGGCTATATTTTAATGACCTTACTTTAGTATGGATACCACGATCTGAACGAGATCACATAAATTCTTTCCCAGTCATACTTGTAGGAGAATCATAAATATTCAACTCATAAGTACGCGATATACTTAGTGACTAAAAATACAACAAGGCTATTAACAAGTATCGATGATCTCTGATAAGATAAACGATGCGCAATGCAAAGCGCCAATCTAATGACTGACGTACGTGTGAAGTATTATGCAATGAAAGCTCAGACGCATCGCGACGCTCAAAACACCGCCTAACTATACGAGACCGAAGAAGACCAATCCTTCCTCACTTTGAGCAGGATTGGTGGTAGACGAGGAGGTTCGCTAGCACAAGAAAACAAACACCGTCGATACGTAAGTGGAGCTAAAGACGCGAAGATTCATTGTTCACATGAAGCGGTACTTCAAGATCGCCGCTTCACGCCTGCAAGCACCGGTCGAATATGAGCTCAACATAGAATAAGTAACAATGTTGAACAGCAGACCATAAGAGTGAAAAGGATGACACCCGACAGATGAGGCCAAAGAGTAGCGTCACTCACCTCGTCCCAACAAATGCAAAGTGAAAGTACCCCAGCCGTTTCCCTCCTCTGCCTAGCGCCGCCACCTCCAGTTTACTTCTCCTCCCTCACCGGCCTCACAGAACACCTTGTTCACCACTATCGACTTCATTATTGAGAATGTCGTCCAGAAGGAACGTCTTCTCTCAATCCAATGGGAGGAGCGTATCGAACCATAGCCACAGTGAGTTGAAGCGCTGAGTTTCCCTGAGTCATTGCTTGACAATCTCGACGTTCCTCCTCGTACCCTCCTTCCCCGTGCGATCGAACTATGTTTATTTCCCGTCTAATGCATATCTTCTCAGCCCACAGTCAGCTTTGGAGTGGTTTCAATGGATCGAACCTTGAGAGTCGGTGAGCCGACATTATATATAGACGCCCGACCTCCCACTCACTGACATGATCCCCCCTCCTTCAGCGAGTCCCAATATCCCGCCATTTATGGCGCTCAAAGCCCTCTACAGTGGACTCCATCCCGCCGTGCAGAGGTAATTATCTGAAAATTGAGAGAAAATAGAGCGTCGTTGACACGGCCGCCGTATCCCCAGCGTGATAGAGTAAACCCCTTGCGCCCAGTAGCACTTCCCGTAGTGCAGCAGACGTCGACACTCCAGAGGATTCTCGCTGCCGGGGAATACAGAGCATTTCCAATTGGTGGGATACAGCACAGCCTTCCCGCCGTCATCGAGCACGCATACCCGCCACCGCCAGCACACCTTTTCATGGTACGCCTGTCGCACGACGCAGGGGACTATCAGTTATTCCCCTTCCCGACGATAAACGGGATCCCAACGGTGAACAGCATCATACGCGTTGTTGTGCGTGTAGTCGAAGGCGAAGACATCATGCATACGACGTGGGAGGTAGACGAGGTACTCGCTGCCGGGGCCTACATCGAAGGAAGACCAGGAAGGCTTCGAGTGGATGGTCGTGGAATGTGGGTATGGACAGGTTTCGCTCTCAGTCGCGATGGCGTCTGGGAACTGAGCATAGTTTAATCAGTAAGTGTTACCATCCATGATATGTAGGGAGAACTAACCCAATCAAATCTAGATTTATGTTGTTATTTCTCGTCTGGTTCGAACATGTTGTGGACAGCCTATCTTATAACCTTGATGTATTTGTAATCGATGGATAGGCAGAGTGAATGTATCAATATTCATAACGACAATTTTGCCAAGGAGTTACTGAAGTATATCCCTGCAGGGAAGACAGAGAATCCGACAGAGAGAGAATGCGAACGACTATGAAATATCCGCGATGCCTTTCAAAGCTATAGAAATCCATCGCAAACGAAGAATATAGCGTATGAGGCATATGAAAGGATCCAAAAGAGTTTCTCGCGACCGTTTTACAATAGGTATTTATTCGCGAAGAACCCATGATCTCGAGACCCACATCTCGCCAAAGATCGAGGCGCGCAAGCTGTGCTGCATTGCATAAAAATAGAGGTATACCCGACTTCGTTCAGGACATGGGCACATAAAGCCGTAGGCAGTTTATGGTCAAAACATGGACCTCGACGAGCATAGAGATGAATTCAACTAGTCCGTATATCTATATATTCCAGTCAAGGAACCAGCATATGATGATGGGCCATCGTGCACGATATGCGATATTGATGGTGTCGGGATCAGAATAGATATAGGGATAGAAAGTTTGAGTTGGATATGACATCAAAGATCCAGCAGGCATATCGTTGTGTCTTGAAAACCACCGCATAGATCATTTGCGAATGATATTGCAGGGGGGTGGCGACATGTGCCTAAGGAAACATATTGTTCGGAAGAGGTCATGAAAAGTAGTTAATTTGAGTCCATTGTGACTGACGTCGACATCCCAGTGGAAGTCAAAACGGTCCAAGCCACCGAGTAGTACAGTGTTGATGCCATTAAAGCTAACATGATCCTGGTTTGACCTCTTTTCTATGTCCAATAGATACTGCGCGACACTCGTTGCCACTGTCGTTCTTCTCGTCTCCCATGCAAACTAGGATGAGACGAGTACTGTGACATCCACAGATAGAATAGGCCTTTCACGAGACAGACATGAGGGCGCTTTAATAAAGCGCTGGTGCCGAAATAGACCTTCCCACCGCGTTAGGCGACTCTTCAATTAGAGTCAAGGCGTCTCCCATCGGAGAACACTCCGCACTTTGCAGCCTATAGGCATACACGTTCTAAAAATGAAAGTGATCGCAAAGGCACAATGAGCGAGGAACCAACGACAAGCATCATCCCGGGTCTTGCCAGCTGGATGACAGGTGTCAAATTTGACAAGGATTAAGCCACTAGGAGGCTTCTATCGCCACCGAGTGAACGCAAACATCCAAGTAAGTTGACGTGCCAGAGAAAATGGGGTGTTGGGTCCTGAGACGGACGGATAGAGAATGGCAGCACTGGGGGCGAACAAAGACATCGCCGAGGGAATAGTATCATAACTATGCCGACGCTGCTGGATAGTTGCGATGCTGGGGAACTTGAACAACCAATACCAAGTACATCGGAGACGATGGATAAACGCGCAAATACCATTATGTGGACGCTGGTGACCACGATATCCATCGCAACGTTTTGGAAGAGGTGTCGAGCTCAAGAGAACTACAGATTTTCGAAGGATAGCCCTATGAAGAAAAGACATGGTCATCAACAGCCCTACCAATATTATTCATACAGTGAAACGAGATGATAGATACTCAACTAAATTCATAACATCATTAAAGCAGAAAGCTTTGCAAGATGTTGACCTTGAACGACGAAGCGTTCAAGCTGAAAGTGAAATGGAGGATGGTTGACGTTTGTTAGCGAAGGGAGCTTTCGAATACTCGCCGGTACTTACCGATCAGTGAACGTTAAATACTATGCTCCATAGGTACTTTGGTCACACACATCTTTTGACCAATACGCTTTTGTCAGGTAAACCATAAGGTACCGTCAATTCCACGCTTCTCCCGCCAAAATCTATGACTAGCCAATGAGACATAGTATCCTCTATTCTTAGTTAGCCTCAGTAGGCAGTGAGCGCTAACATATACACCGTCATCGGAGCTGCTAACAATCTGTCAATGCAAAGTTA